CCATCTCCAACTTCGTCACTCCCCTCCCTTTCTCCTCTTCTCTCACCGGTGAAGGGGAGTTTTGGGACCTCTACGCTTAAGCTTGGCTCCTGATTCCTCCTCTGTTTTGCTCCCCAGTGGACGTGACCCTGGATCCAGCCACGGCGGGTCCCGAAGTGATCCTCTCCGAGGACCTCAAAGAAGCCACCTGGGGTAGACCCGGCCGCCGGTGGCCTGAGGGTCCGGGCCAGTTTGACACCGATCCGTGCATGTTGGGCACCAAGGGCTTCACCTCGGGCCGTCACTACTGGGAGGTGGAGGCCAACGGGCGCTTCTGGGCCGTTGGGGTGGCCCGTGAGTCGGTTCAGAGGAAAGGCCGGGTCCTCTTCAAGCCCAACGCCGAGATTTGGGGCTTGCAGAAGTACGACGAGCTCTGCGTGGCCCTCACGGCTCCTTCCAACACCTCCGTCCCGCTCCTCAACGGGGAGATCGGGGTCTACCTGGACTACGAGGTGGGACAGGTCTCCTTCTACGCCGTCGGCAGCCGCCAACGCATCTTCACCTTCCCCGTGGCCTCCTTCAGCGGAGAGAGGGTCTTCCCCTACTTCTGCGTGCTCCTCTCCACCATCAAACTGTCCCCCAGGGGGTGATGAGCCGGTGGGGCGTCCCCCCCCCCCCCCCGCCAAAGCTTGGCTGCTCCACGGTGGTTGGAAATGCTCCTTGATGCTCCTCAACTCTTTATTTTCCAGGTCTTGGAGTTATTTCCATCTCAGCCCATGGTCCTACCTCTGTCTTGGGTGTCTCCGTTTTTGGGTTCTGTCCAGGGGGTTTCGGGTCTGAGGCTCGTCCCGGCTGAAAGCCGGTGTTGTTCAATTCAGCCGAAGCTCGTTAACGGGAGCTGGGCTTCACCGCGATGGTTTTGAGCTGAAAACTTGGGGGTTTCCTCCCAAACTCAGCCCCCTCTGGAGGTTTCTGTTACTGACCTCGACGCCCGTCACTGGCCGGGCTCCCAACCCCAATTAAAAATCTCAATTTTTGTGTTAATAC